CCCCCCCCCCCCTGTTTGGTATACACCGCGCTAACGGGCTGGCCAATGAAATTTTTCAGTCACAGTGCGGCTAACAACGGCTGCGCATCTATAGAAGGTCATGAGCAGGGGATCCGTGACGGGGGGGTCACATGCGTTTTTGTTGGTGTTCATGTGTGCCACGCAGTGCTGTGTGTGTTCGTGCAGCCCTTGACTTGACTGGCGTGCGACCAAATCTGGCGGTCTGCTGCCGTGAGCGGAATCGAGTGCAATGTAGCAGCCGAGAGTCCTTCGCTGTACGTCGATGTGCCGCATGATGCCAGCTCCGGCACGTTCGCTGTCTTGATGCTGCCGCTATGTACTCTTCCACCACTGTTGTTGTTGCTGGTCTGACTGCCGTTGTGCTGTCCGGCAAACGAATACCAGGCTACCCTGACCGCAATCTGGGACAGGCAGGGTTCAGAATTACTCGCGTGGGGTGACCTGGTCGACTCCAACAGCTTCAACCACGTCATGACGTCTGACCTGTTCCGACCGGCCTGGGTAAGGATAAGCACATGGTTTATCAGGAAAAGGGTTTTTCGCCTTTGCGGACCGAATGCACCATGTATGCACCCGTACACCAAATGCGGTCTGTGGAATGATGAAGGGGATGCAGACCCAGGATTTTTTATTTTCAGGCAGGACATGTTTGAGTTGTCGCTTGCCACTACTTTTAACATCCATAAGCGCCGCATGGCATGTACTCGCCCCCCCCTCCGGTGTAAAGTGCGTAGCCCATGTTCCAACCCATGCTCAATTCCATTTTTTGTTTTGCTCATTGAACAGTCAGCAGCTTCCAAGGCAGACTCCGGCACGAAACCGGCTTGCCCACCCAATAAATCCGTACCACGACGCACGCCCTTGACTTCTCTCTTTTGGCAGCAAGTCGGCGCCGAGGTTCTGAGCGTCCTCTTGCGCAATGCCGACATCTTCCGGGAAATCGCCGTCGACAAGGAGTTGGAACAGCAGCGAGATGGAGAAGATCATGCTTCGCCGGCACGACGGCCGCGGCCTTCGACGGAGATGCCGTTCGGAGATGTCGGAGATCGTAGTTGTGCGGCGGCGGAGAAGTCGGCCAAGACTGATGCAACCGCGATTCCGACTCCTCGCTCGGGGGCCACGGTGCTGGAGGGGGGAAATTTCCGGGGGGGTGCCGGTAAGACATTCGGGAGGAGGGGGGGGAGGGAGAACAGCGGAGGAACTACGGGAGTGAGGAACAGACAGGGAGACAGTGGTAGAAGGCGAGGCGAGTTAAATGTTGGTGACTCTTCTTCGCCACATGACGACGAATGCTCCAATTTGTTCCAAAATTTGTTCGAACCTAGAGAATGGATTGAAATCCGTGTCGAATGATTCTTGATGCGAGATTTATCGCGCAGTGTAGTGAAGTCTTCTCAAGCGACCATGTGTAACGAGCTATGCACAGCCTTTCGAGTCAATCTTGGTTCGAACCTCCTCCGGTTCCAGGTGAGGCGGTCGCGGGAGATAGAGAGGGGGACTTGGAGGACGAGGGCTTCGGAGATTATGGAGATTCGTTGCTGCGACGGCTCTGCCTGGACGCTGTGGCAGTCGGAAAGTACGCCCCTTTCGGGAAGGTGAGACCCTTGTTGTTACTTTCAGGCGGAAAAAGGATGACCCTTCCCGAGCTCCACCTTTGCCCCCGTTTTCCGTCCCCCAAGGACCTGGATATCCCAGGGTGTCGGTATCTGGCTCGCCGTTCGCACCTGCTACCAAACCTTAAAATGTACCTATACGTTTTTCCATCCTATTGCTCAACTTAAAAACACACACCCACATCTCTCGTAGTTGTGCGAGATGGAGTCCTTGGGCCATCATTCATTCGGCCCGTTTCCACCACCCTCTACCAGACAATCCATACATAGCACCATCGTTTAGTATCCCACCCATTCAGATTGTACCACTCCACCACGGACCGCCCCCCCCCTCGCTTGGTGATGTGAGAGCCTGGTCCGGTGAGAACCCGGCGTGCTCCGTCCCGGCTTTGTAGGGATGCGAGGTCAATGGTCTAACGTATCCACGACTATGAGTACGCCCCCTCCCCCTTGTACAGGACGTCGGGCTTCGACTGTCGGTCATCAAGCTCATGTTCAGCGCCTGCCAGGCCTACGGCGAGGAGGCCGCTCGCTCCTTGTTCGGAGCAGACGGCTACCGTGGCGGACGTTCGTCGTTAGGGGGAGGGGGGGGGGGGGAGGAGGAGGGGCGTGAGTTGATCCCCGCCCTCGTGGACTTTGTCCGGCTGGAACTCGAGGACTGGGAGAGGAGAAAATACTCGGAGGTGCGTGTCGGAAAGGGGCACCGTTGTACCGTTTTTGTTTTTCACCTCTGTTTTTTTTTTGGGCGGTAACCATGATGGTGGTCGAGTAGATCATGTTGTGCGGGATCGAGAACCCTCACTACGCGCAAGGGGGATGATCGCACCACGTTGTGTTCACATGGTCAAGCGCCCTAGAGGCATTTACAGTGCTTACAACTGTCTCTGGAAGCGAAAGCACCAGAAAATATATTAAGTCATACACAGCTATCATCCGTACGCAAAAGTAAGCACAAGATGCCGAACACCCTTAGCAGGATGCAGCGCACCC